AAGGCACGGGGATTGCGCGGAAACCGGAGAGTCTCAAAAATAGTGGGAAAATCTGAAGTAGACGCGGTCACATATAAACCGGCACAGTCTAAGTTACGGAGCAATATCTGTGGGACGTACAATGGCTAGCTAATATAAAGACCGGACATTCCTTACAAAAAACAAAATGAAAATAATCGGGTCCGGTGTACTCTGTGTTGACGTCTTAGTGAAGACTTAAGTTTAGCCGCTTGATGGGCGAACAAATAATAAAACTGGCCATATTTCAACCTTTGTTCCCTACCCTGGGGGCATGAGGCAAACTCCATTCGGACTTCTCGTCTCCTTCATATTTCAGCTGATATGGCTTGAAAACTCCCCCTTTTTTAGTGTATCTAATTCATGGCTGTGCATCGGACAGTCTCATATGTTGCTATTTTTCTTCGCTGGTTCGCTGGTAACTCAATTTGTCAAAATGATTTAGTGACGTACCTCGACGTCAGGGCACTTGGTTTTCGTTTATTGATCATATAGGCAACCACTACCCAACTTCTTACCTTGAACTGGATATCACTTTTCTAAAGTTCCTGCTTTCTTCTTTGTTGCTCAATCGGTATTACCCCTCCGGACTTTTCGCTTACGCCCGTGATAAAAAGCCTTTTTCGTGGTCCCGAATACCTTCACATTCTAATCAGCCTTACTGATATCAATCCAGCATCAGAGCACTCATCCCCTGGTGTAAATACTTTTATTGAGTTACAGCCAATTCATTATCTTTTGAAGCATCTGGACACTTTTTCTGACGCAGGCGTGGCACCAACGGGAATATGTGGCTTCCAGATATCACTGCGAACTACCGCGTGGTTTTGGCCCTTCGAGACTTACTTCTAATCGGAAACCTCCATAATCATCTTTCGCATAAGTGAAAGCTTTCTCCAGGCATCTCGTATCGCTGATACATATGGTGTGCCCATGGTTCACAGCCAAATTGAATGAGTTCACCCAAGCCTCGCGGTTCGTTGAAATAAAGTGGGTTCATAAGCAAACCAGGACGGTCTCCTGGTTGCATGTCGAGGGGATTTTTGGCAATCCAGCTCAAATCTAAGCCATCGATTCCTTTATCGTTAATTATCATTCCACAGCGACACTCATTTTACCAGTCGACATATAAGTATTGTCTCGTGGTTTAAGCATTTTCGGAACGCTCGAGTCGTATGATCTGGTAGGCACGAGTGTGTCCGACAAATAAGGCGAAGTTGGTTGAAGGAAAAAAGGGGTGACCGCCAAAGATCATTTTTGTCTCAATCTGTAGGCGGACTTCAATAGGGACAAACCAATGGAATGTGATCTCAAAACGTAGATTAGTAATCAATACTTTCTCGTCATTTTCCTCCCCACCCAGCCGGGCTTCAGTTAATTGTATTACATCAAACCTTCCAAACGCAGCCCCTTCCTTACCCACCACAGTACCGAAACAAAGCGTAGCGGTGCAGACAGTTTTGGTCAAACAGCTCTTGTTTGCCTTATCGGCAGCAAGACCAGATGAGAGTTTGTTCCCCTGAATGATACGTCTAACGTTTTACTCCGTTTTTTGTCGCTGCTTACCCGATGAACTTTTATGAAAATTTACAGTTCCTATTTATGCGGTTCTTTTCATTGTTTAACCAGAAGGGTTTGGTCCTGCTAGTAATTTATAATCTATGAGTAAATGACTGACTCTTTGTTTGTTGAGCTTGGTTATTTTATTGTGAACTTTGCGTCGTCATTCGAGGTGCAATCACCAGGATAGTGTTAGGGATTTGGGGGAGCTCAGTCCTGCGTCAGTGGTTATTTTGGTAACGGAACCTTGTGCTGAAATGCGTACTGTTGGGTGGGGCAGACCCCTGAGCCCGATTGATTGTTCTGCCCGGTGCATTGTCCGTCGAGCTCATCCATGTAAACAAGCCAACGACCATCTATGCCACACGAGTTACCGGCATTCTCCTGCGAGCAACTATTCCAGCCCATGCCACGTCGATGATGCTTACGGCAAGAGAAACACCCAATGAATTTTCCATGATTAGTGGCCACTGCGTAAAGTACGCGACCAAATAAACGAAAATTGTCAAACGTTCACACATTCGTCACTTAAATATCACACCCAGTCAACGGCTGGTATGAAACAGTGTCGGTTAGCAGGTATGGTGATTACACCGCCGCAGAACTTGGAAGGTTTAATAAAATGATGTAGTCGTTGCAGCCTTCCAAAACAAAATTTCAAAAAATCAGCCAATTTAACATATGAAACAGGCCACGGTATTAGATCTCACCCAGAAAAGCTGTATTATTTAAGTATGTGGGACGCCACCAAGAAAATAAAGCAGCCATCTTTGCCTTGGTAAGCAGAAGCAAGTGACTCACGCGTGATTCAAGGGCGTTATATGAAAATTTTAAATAGTACCAGTCACGCTTACAGTATACCACACTCAACATTCATACTTGGCAAGGTATTACTACGGATGGCCTCCAGTTGCTCACTGATTAGGACGCTCATCAGCTATTACACAAAACAAACCCTTCGGCGTGTTGTTCTCAAACGAGGTCCACCCAAGGATAATGAATAAAACGTTATTCACACCGACAAATTAATTCTACCCGGTGCTTCCCTTGTCAGACGACGAATTTAACCTTCCCCTTGATTGAAAGGAAGCTTTTGTCTCGCCAACCTGCAAAACTGGTGACCATTTACAGCCCGGCAGCTGCAGGCTTATTGGCATCTCTAGTGTATAGCACACCCTGGACCAAGCAATGTTAAATTACCTCAGCATAGGCAACTTGATATCATCAGCGCCACACGGATCCCTCCGAATCCATACCTGCGTGGCGGACACGCTCATATTTATGGAAAGTTTTACCTAAACTGAGGAAGAAGGGCTCATAACGGACGCTTTTTTTGGTTTATCAAAAGCAGCCGGTTGTGTCTCACAGGTAAGCAAGAACAAATTCTATCCAACGGCACGAGTCTCCGTTGGAGATTCTCAGGTCTCCGTTTTGAGAACACTTCTGTTTCTGATCCGCGTCAACGACCTTCCAGATGTTCCTCCAAGTGTGTCTTCCTTTTACGGACGACCTGGAAAACTGGGGCGCCAGTAAAGCGTCTCACAAATAGATATAGACGCGGTAAAAAGGGATCACCGGGCTGACACCTTCGTGCGAAGAAGAAAATGTTCGTCCATATGTCATTCGGATGGGACTCAGCCAAAGCCTTTGTCGTGCATGTTCAGAAAGTACCAAAAGACATTACAGAGGTAGATGCTAGAAAGATCTAGATGTTTCGCCCTCCAAACAATTTCTTCTCAGTTCATCGTAAAAACTTCGCTTATATGGTACTCGTGTTTATGCGGACGATTTGGGGCATCTTCCTTCATGCTATGCAAATGAACCTCCAGAAACTGTACGGAGACCATGTCAGACCACATCTGGAACAATGCAACCAAGTTGCCCACTCAGTGCTCAACCAGGACGCAACACACATTAAACGGGCCCAACCGGCTGACTTAGAGATGGCTACTGGCCTCAGATTGGTGTCCTGTGAAACGCGTCCTGTGGTGTTTTACCTCGTTTCACTGGACTATTCTCATCTCTGACAGAGACTAATACTTATACCCTGTTTGAAACACTTTGTGCCGAAGGCTATTTTTAAAGCTGACCCGAATAACTCACGGCGACGACATGGTAATAAGATTTTCAAGCTCTTTATTGAGCTAAATTTTTCTCGATTCAGGTGTTTGGTCTGGGAAATAAAATTTATCTGACAACTGTTCACACTACATCCAGTGCGCAGTTCACGACAATTTAAGACGAATTATGTAATTAATCGCGCTGGCAAGGTTGCTGTCCCGCGCCAGGAGCTTGTAGAGCGTTGTTTCACGCTTTCTTCGATTGAACCGTAACAATATGAAATAATGAATACGCTTCTGTCCAGAAATTAAGCTAGATGATCGAATTCCGGCTCTGGCCCCGAACGCAGTATGTTTTCTGTCGCTTCAGCCCGTCCTTGTTGCAAATGCCAAGACAGACGTTCCGCCATACCCTGGAGATTTGTTGAGCAGATTAGACCGCTGCGTAATGCATCTGTCTCAATCCCAGGTCATAGTCGACTATTCACCCGATCACCCTTTGTAAGGCATCAATATCTTCAGGTTTGTTGGCGCACGGCCGCAAGATGATCAGGCTGCTCTCGCTCGTGCGCCTTTTCACTAGAATTGCGGTGGCAGCCCTGACTGCCGCATCAGAAAGCTCAAAAGCCTTCATCGCAGCAAATGAGCCAAGAATAGATTGCGCTGGGTACTTAGAGAGAAAATTTTGCCGTCGATTTTCGTCCAAGCCTCTTTGTTCTTTGTGTTTATACCTTCCAGAGCTTTGGAGAGAAGTAACAGTTTTTCCTCGAGTATCCCGATTGAAATAGAACATTGGCATTGGTCCTCCCGAGTGAGAAGAAGAAACTCGGTTTCGTTTTTTACAGCTGGCATGTTAATTGTGGAATGCATAGCACCCTAAGCAAGAAGAAGCTGGCGCAGTCAAACTGATCAAGAGATTTAAATAATTGGCGTATCTGATCGTTCTATAAATCCACACATATGGGACGTCACCGGGCCTGGCGGGCGTAACATTGCATCTTCTCCATCTGACATTCGATGGACAACCATTTCTTCCACATATGTCGTGGTCAACCGATAGCTCCAGCGGAGAGCAGCTAGTGATAAACTGGCTCATGAGTGAAATATGGCGTAACGCGGAAAATGAGTGCAATATGACAGAATTTTCCACGTACAGGTAATGCAGGAATTAGAAAGTCAATATAATTATACGCTTCAGCCCTTTAAGTAGATTGGACAGCGGAAAATGTATCCCACAATTTTCCACGAGCAAAAAACGAAGCCAATTCAAACGTATCCCCCTCTTTATCCGTACCACGGCTGTGGTTCCAAATTTATGAAGCAGTAGCCGATGAAATCAAACTTCAGCAGACGGTGGTCACCATGATCAATGAGGTGTCTTCCCTTGGTGAGTACCAAATTCAGGATTGGTGGCCGTTGTTTAGCGCGCCATCTGGCGGGCTTGAGTCCTGCTACAAATGACTGTCTAGGCGCAACTGCAGCTATGCACACAGTACTAATGTACAATCGAAGTTGATCATCCGAAAATGGTTGTTCTGCGTGACATGAAAACTATGCTCGTTGAGAGTTCTAGTTGATCGAGGACTCGGTATGTTTTTCTGACTCAATTAGCAAATTGGCTCGACCAATCACTGATTCCCAAGTGGCTATTCTTCACGACTGCCGTAGAGATGTGTCGTCTACGTCTCATGTTTGCCCTTATTCTTCTGATTTCAGCAGGTATTGAAAAAGTAGCGGGCGAGGGAGAGGGGAATAAATGTGATGGTAAGTGCCATGATAACCCTCCCAATAACCCTTCAGTATGTGTACAGGTGGTAAAGCGGTTGATTGAGCAATTGGGCAACTCGAGAGGTGATCCCAAGGAAGTGAGGACCAAGTTCGAAGCATTATGCAGAGACCTCAAAAAGAGTTCGCCTGAAGGGGTTGAGAGCCGATTTGTACGTACCGTTTTTTGTAGACCCTATCTCTCCAGTGCTATCTTGTTGGTGGACATGAAGAGTCTGCAGCGAAGACAGTTATGTATTTGGTGGATCAGGTCACCACTTACAAACCAGCAGAGAAGATTTGTATGGAACTGGATAAAAAAATTAGTGGTGTGTGTGATTTCAAATACAGTGAGTAACTTTTTTGCTAAGTGACATTTTTCAGAGGATAAAATTGATTGGTCCAAGGTGGATTTGAACCGTGCCAATCTCAAACAGCTGAAGAAAATTCTGGCGTCCTATGACATATATGAGTGTCCCCATTGTATAGAAAAGTCGGATTACGTGGAGCTTGTTAAGGACGAAGTCCGAAAACGTGATCCAGAAGCAGCCAAGCTGCTCGGAATATCACCGAAAGTGGAACTGTAGGTGGTCAAGAGACGACATGTCTTGTTTTTTGTGATATTTTTCCTAATTTCTTTTGAAACCCCCCTTGTCTCCACTGCACAATACACCGGTTTTCAAAGTTTTAACTTTCAAATTGCACGATAGGGCCGCCTGGGGTGTCATTAATTATGGCTTTACCTGCTTGCGTCGATCCACAAGTCCTGGCTTCAGCTAGAATGAGGCATTTAGTTAGCAACCAGGTTTCGCTATAGCGGTCGCCAGGACCGCGGAATGTCGTCCAGATGCCTATACCTCAAATGATGATAAGGGCATCCACGGCTCAGCAGGTGCCACGTAGTTCCGTTCAAACTACTACAGCAACTAGGGACGTAAATGTGGCTAGTAGGCAGTACTGATATTCACAGTAGCAACAGTCTAAAAACAGCTTCTTTTGTGGCACACTCTGGTGAATCAGCCAAGTCCGAAAACTTGGGGAAGAATAGAGGGAATGTGAATGTATGCTACTATGGGATACTTTCTGAACCAGCTACAGAAATCATCACCGATGCCTGGGTTAGGAACAAGCGTGCCGAGATAAGGATTCGGAAGCCATTCAAACGGTGGAATCGATAATGCATGAACGTAATGCCTAATGCTCGGTTACTGTTACGATTAAGTTGGAGCAGCTTACATATTTACTTAACATGCGTCTGATGTCACGGGAAACATCTCACTAGGTCGGTTAATAACTAGAGTGCATTGTTATCATTATCAAAAACAGCACCTCAGCTTCAACGCTTCGCTGCGGTTCGGCAATAACTTATTTGAAAGCTTTCATCTGTGAAAGCGGATAGCGTACAACAGTCCTAGGTAAGTGCATTTCCAGACACTCAGAAGATCTAGGTAGAAGTGGATGAGAAGAAAATCTGACTGACTGATAGCCAAGATTTCGGTCGCGTACGAAGGAGTTCCCGCTGGATCCACCGTAAAGCAAGTCCCACCTATTAATCGCTTCCATATCCCTCTGCTACGTCACAGTTTGATTGTTCTCATGCTTGTGCCAATCTGAATCGAGTGCCGAAAACACCGCTGTTCGGCACTTGTAGTAAATATCCAATCCACCACAGCTTTTGACGCTGGACTCATGCTGCGTTATGGATTCGTTCGTACTAGCCAACACGAGCTGTAGCCCGAAATCAACGGTTATCGAAGACCTGAGGATGTCTGTTGCTGTTCGCAGAGGCTACGTCTCACAACTATGGGGTAAGATAATCCTTATTGTGGCTCAATATAAATCTTCCTTGAAACTATAGAGTATTCTGCCGTAGATCTCAAACTAGGAAACGCGATTCGTCGTTCACCCTCGTCCATTGACCTCATATGTCACACTAGGTGCAAATTGTGGAGTTAGGTACATATTCCGCTACAAAACCACTTATTTTACTCGTGGCCCCATAGTTTCCTACACCATCATCGACAGCATGACACCAGAGTTCAGCACCGATGCTTCGCTGCCGTATGATTGAAGCCTAGGAAACAAGCAGTATAGCCTGTTAGTTTAACCCCTGAGTCTTTTCAGAAGGCCAACATTCGAAGAGACGATCGCGGTAGAGTTGAATGATTTTCGACTATTGGACTGAAGGAAACTTTTTTTGATGTAGGAAAGTGGAAAACGGGAGAATTACCAAATAGAGATAGCATCGAAGGCTTTGTAGAGTCGCGCGTATCATCCAATGCTCTTTGTAGCCAAGAACTCAGGCATTACATTGCCGTCTTTGCTATGCTTCTCATGGTTACTTGGAACCTCGCGTTAAAACCATATCCAGTGCTGTACTACACCGAATGATATCACACCAAAACTTTCATACGATGAACCGAATGGAGGCTAGGTGTTCCATCGAAACGCGCTTCAGTTAGTTTGTCGAGTCCTGTTCTTGACGTCTGAATCAACGACTGTAGGTTTTGGACTTTCATGTTTTTTGCAGCATTACAGGGCTGGTTTATTAGTCCGCAGGCGCTGCGGCACCATCCCGGTAAAACTGACGAAACACATGCCCTCCCCCAAAATCAGTGATGTCATTTCAGGCATTTGTCGCTGCGTTCAACCTTGGCCAGCGAAACCATATGAATACCTGTCAAATTTCATGAACAGAGGTGTACTATGAAGCCGCAAAGGAAGGTGAAATCCCGATACTTCTGAAACTTAATTTTATATTATGGCTAGTTATCTGTAGGCTCTATGGGCCCAACAGATTATATAACACTATAAATAGAGACGGGAAAATTCCAAACTCTGGAGGCATTCGGAATAGACTACACATCACTGTCCTGAAATGAAGAGCATTACTCAGGGTGCGTGGCCGCCAATCAAAGCAGTACTGCATGCCCGGAGCGTACGTCTTAGTCCCCTGTTCCCACCAGAGGTCCACGTTCTTGGACGGGCCCCGTTAACTAGCCAGACACGCGACTTATACCATGATGAAGACAGCTCCGGTGATTGTGCCACTGAAATAAAACATGTCTGAGGTAATGCCAGGATTTTCCATTCCTATTTGCCCCAATGACAGCAAGTTGAGCAGAAAGGTGGTTTACTTCCATGGAGCGATGAGTCCGAGCGTCAACAGGAAGGAGTACTATGTTTGATAACGAGAAAAATATGATGTCCTCGGGGATTTTGCGAAAAATATCTGTCACGAGAAGAGCATAATTTAACCTCAATAGCGAACAGCGCAACAAACAGCACGGTTGAGGGTTTCGATCTAATACTTTCCAGAACAGCACTGCATATCGACTTCTGTCGGCGCATACGACAAGCTTTCATCTAGTTCTCCAGACCCAGCAGTGTAATAGAATGCCCGCTTTCGCTGCTCCCCTTCAACTTTAATTGATATGCTGTTTGCTTCCGGAAACTCGGGAATCGAGATGATCCCGGGACGTTCGCACATGAACATTGAGTGCACGGATAATATTCATTCAGCTGTAGCACCATTTCGATGCCCAACTGCCATCCCACCAGAACGAAGCGCGAGGGCTGGGATACTGTCAGGTTGCCCAAGTCTAGACAGGGGAAGTCGAGAGGCAGAGGTCGAGCTCGAACCACAAGCCTTCCGGTCAGTAAATTCGCAAATTATTAAACTGAACTATGTCGCCCCCGCCGACAATGTTGCTGTCCTTGGTTCGGATCATTTGGGGAAGCAATCCACCACAAATAAGCTAAATCATTCTGCCGCACTGTTTGGTATGTTTTTCGCACCTACAGTGTGTAAAATCCTACGAGGTTGGTGGGATCGGGGCCAGTCCTCATGTTGGCATACTATCCAGTCGAAGTGATTGATAGATTTACACACTTGTGCAGTTGTAGACGTTCTGGTTCATTAGATATAGATGAGACACGAATCTGGAAGGCCAGTAAGGTTTTACAACGCTTGACCTCTATGTCGCTGGCTTGACGTCAGTTTATCTGTCAAGGACTGATATACACGACTATCTTTATTGCTTCCCTACATCGGATGTTAGTAGCAGAGCAGCCCTGGGTCCATCTTCCATTTCCTTCAAATTAATTAACATGGTTGTACGGCATTGATGGACAAGTGTTCCTTGGTGTTGCTGTCAATGATGGATATTCCCTGCGCGCAGAGGATGTAAGGCAACATTTGCTGCTTGACCATCGATGCCTATGAAACGTTGCCTGGTTGTTGTGGAAATATCGGACTTGCAATGCTGAGTTTTAGACAGAAGAATGGTCCAGTCGCGCCCTCAGTGGCGCTCATGCATCCAAGCTATTGCCTTCAATGCAGAGCTCCCTTCCCAATTCTCCCACTTAACAGTCTCCTGACAGTGCTATATTCAAGTACCAATTTATCAGCTCCCGCCTGCCATGCGCAGCTACCTATTTCACCTCGCCAAATCACCTGTGGGCGAAACTGTGGCAGCTACAGCCACTGTACGACAAGTGGGCGGTTCTTACAGCTGACAATGATGATGATGATGATCCCGCGACCGATGACGTCTTATAGGTTACGCTGGTGAGAACATGTGTTGCTTATGTCATAGAACCGTTTACCTCGCAGAGCTCTTTTCGCCCAGCCCTGTGCTGAATGGAAACGACCGGGAGGCGGACGGTCAGTGATATGGCGACGAAGTACGAAGACACTTACCAGTAAACCCAACCTAGCTGTCATCCACCGCCTTCTCGGACGGAAACCTCGGGACTCAACTCATCAGTGGTTAATGGAATTGGCAGACATGACCCAACCAAACAGTTACTAATGCTCCTGTGTCAAAGCTATAGCCTTCAATGTGTAACTGTCAGGTTTCCCGCTTCATGAGACAATTAGAGTAACTCGGCACTGTTTCTGGTACCTGGCTACATACCCTCTACTCTCCCATTCTTCGGTAACCGGCATTGTAGCAGCTGTAACCAACGTATTCTGTCGGGTTCGCAACGTCTCTCACTTTTTGCACATCGTTTGCTCACCAGATCATCAGTTACATGCTTTGCATTAAATCCGGGCTTGCCTGTCTCCCATCACAGGTGCGGTCGGCTCCGTATGGGTTTTTATGTCTATTATGTAGCGCAAGCTGTCGTTAGCCCACCATGACTGAACTCGGCTTATAGATGCAGCTTGTGGTGGTGGTCGGCCTTTCATGCTGGCTTGGCTACATTGGCAGGAATTCAGTTCCTTAGGGTTCAATAAAGCCGGATAGGTCAGCGGAGAGCAACCCGACTAGCAGCGAGTCATGTGAAAAACCGTATTGCATGGCTGCTTGGACGTAAATCAATACTGAACTCCGAGATAGGAGTGCAAAGGCGGCAAAGTATTTTTTTCAGGCGACAAGAATGTCCTTATTTATACAAGTGGCGATCGTGCCATTCCTCGAGAACTGACCAGTTAGAAAGGTCGGCACAAAAGCCTCATCCTCCGGTCGGCCAACTCTCTAGCCTGACCGTCGGTGCATTGTTCAGTACGATCGAAATACTTTCAAAACCAGAGTCTGGTGCTGATCAGGAGGCACCTTTTGTGCGCAGCTTCATTGGAATT